TCATCTCTGGACCCCCGATCCATTCGAATACTTAATATCCATCGCATATATCTAGAAGAACACTTGACAAAACATATTGAAAGTTCATCATTTCGGTAATTTTCCACAACATTTTCATTGAGGACCTCCTCATTGCGGAAAAAGATTATTTCAAATTATTGATATCCCGTATCTCATGACGTTAGTGACGATGTTCTTCATATTATAATTTACTCTTTCCGCTAATTCTATAGACCAGTAATTCTATTAATGATAATTGGATCGGCATCAGCAGAATATAGTATATGGATGCATACAATGATTCAATTCCCCGAATGGGTATGTTAAACAAGCATACTTTGACAAAATATGAATTATCCACAAATCCTAAGAAGTTTCAGCATAATTTCTCATTCTGAGCATGACTGCCTATTGATTCATCAACTGAATGGGCATAGTTCACACCGTATATACTATATTCATATTCATCATGAGAGCTAACAACAATATCTCACTATATTAGTGCATTGAATTTTTCGAATATAGATAACCGTATACACAATCACAAAGAATCTACAACACTCAATAAACTAGCAGAAGTTTTTTCATCAGTTTAGGTATCATAAATCATTATTTTGATTATATTATTCTTGATAAGTAGGAATATCGCATCAGAGAAAAAAGACAAAATGAAAAAATACGATATTATGTTATATTCATCTTCATAAAAAAAGCATTAATTTTCCGATAATAATTATACAAATCGGTCAATACGAGCTATAGGTATTCCTATCAATAATGTTCAACAACTACATCAATGTCTCTGTAGGGCCCTAAGTGATCAATTTCAACGGAATACTCATTAAAATCAAATTTAATGTTGACTGGCAATGTTCGGTGCAGATTTCGCTTCATTTTATATATGCATTGCAAGTTTCACTGGGATAAAATCTAATAAATCATAATAATTGTTCATCGTTCTCGACCGTGCATTTTATTACGATTTTCCGAATGGAAATTATGTTTGCATCGAATAATAATTGTTGTGTTCAGTATAAATCATCATGGTGAAAACAAACATTGGAAAAATACTGCAAGAATATTGATGATTAACTTCCGCAACTATATCGCCACACTCATACGTTAATCTATGCTCATATACCATGCAATACGATGTAAAGAAAAACTCCATGTAGTTCTCTGATCTGGGTAAAGTCGGTTTTGGGAACAAACAATTTTTCGAAGCAGTAGAAAATTATTCTCATGTTGAATTCGCAGTTAAAGATGGAGTCTAGGATGACGGCCATTTAAAAACAATCACAATTCCAGGAATAAAGGCAAAGAGGTCGAGAAAGTCGAAATATCGACTTGAATTAGTGTCTTAATATAACTGAATAAATTATGAAGCTAGAGAAACAACCATAAATATACTTGTTATGGCCTTATGTTTTCACTAAATATGTAGTTCAATGTTCAACATAATATAGATATATTGATGGTATTGAGTAAACTATTCAATTTTTTGAATGGAGTGGGAAAAACCTATCAATTGAATAAGGATTATGTACAGTGAAGGGCTCCACGCAAGTCCAAAAAGAGTTGATGCCTTATTAATAGTGTCTCAATATAACTGAATGAATTGTGAAGCTAGAGAAACAAGCTTATACCACAAAGATCATTAAGCCTCTTGATCCCAACTGATCATTCTTCTTAGGCATTGGAAGAGGACATGAAAACCACCTTTCACAAAAACAACGCCGACTTCTCGTTGATTTATCAGTGATTTCAATCTCATTCAATATAAAACAGGAAACTCTCTTGCCTCCTATCGATTCTCGGGGGGCAAGTAAGCCCTTTTTCTTGCAACATAGGCCGCCTCGTTTCGCAAGATTTATTCACCCTTCCAATACAATATATCGCCCTGCGAACGAGTATAGCTAGTGGGGTTGCTTAATTTGTTGGAATGTCGCTTCTTACGGGATATACCGTCACAGTCTTATAAAAAAGCAAACTAATCGAGGAAATTTTGAGAGCAACATTACCATGCGCTTCAAATGAATAAAATTTGCCGAATTCTTGTCGAAGCTTCACGTGAGATCAATTGCTAAAAGTGCATCCCAAAAACTTATTTCGGGCCAGGAGCTCATTAACTTCCAGTCAGCTACTTATGATCTATAAGGCTCAGATCCGACCTGTCCTGAAATACTGTTCCCATATTTGGAGTGCAGCACTCAAACATACCCTGAAACTGTTGGACTCTGTCCAGAAGAAGGCAATTCTTCTCGTGGGTGATGCCTCGCTCACAAACTCACTCACTTCTCTGGAACACCGTCGAAAATTTGGCGATCTGGCTCTATTTTATAGATATTTTCATGGACGATGCTTTAATGAAATATCAACAATTGTTCCTCCCTTGGCAGTCCCCGCGAGATTAACCCGTCGAGTTGAGGCTTCGCACCCCTTCGTGGTCACTTTGGAGACCTGCGGAACATCTCTTTCCAAAGACTCGTCCATCCATCCATCCGAGGCATATAACCTCATCATCAGAATAGCTGAATCTCAACCGTTCATGAATGTTTCAAAAAAACAAAAACTTTGCGAACAACCTTCATAAAACTCTGTCCTATAACATTCGAAATATGATTAGTTCTTAGACGGACAGGAGAGAATTCCTGGCACTTTTCTGAGATGGTATGATATTGGAAATGGAGGAAGAAATTATATGAGAAAATCAGAATAGCTGACTCTCAACCTTTCATGAATATTTCAACAAAAAAAAAAGAACGTTGCAACGACCTTAGCATTCGAAATGAGGTCAGATATAAGACGAAAATGACACTTTTCAAAGATAGAATGATATTGGTAATTAAGAATGAAATGCTATGAGGAAATCAGAATAGCTGACTCTCGACTGTTCATGAATATTCGAAAAAACTGAATTGTTGCATATAACCTTCATCAAACTCTATTTTAACATTCAAAATCAGGTCAGATATGAAAAGAAAATGAGAGAATATCAGACACTTTGCTGAGATGGAATAATATTGGCAATGAAAGAGGAAATGATATGAGGAAAACCGATTGGCTGGCACTCAACCATCCATGGATATCTCAAAAAAACAAAAACATTGCATACAAACTTCATCCGAAATAAGGTTAGATATCAGACGGAAATTAAAAAATACTTGTAACTTTTCTGAGATGGAATAATATTGGAAATTAAGAAGAAAATATCAAGAGGAAACCAGAATAGCTGATTCTCAACCACAACCCCTATTCATATCATTGAATGAAATATTATGGTTGATGGAGAAAAAATTGCCAATTCAATATACAGATTCCGATATGCTATAACATATGGAGTTATTCAAAACAGCCTTCCTCTGATTAATTTTTTTCAAATGGGTCGCGTTCTTCAGAAAAATTGAACCAACAACAATATGATCACATATTTATACCGTTATAGTTTGATTGCGAATAAATGATGCCCCCCCCCTTACCACCTCACTTCTCTTCATCCATCACTGTATACAGAGTGTATCTAAATAACACCGAAAAAATTCAAGGGGTGTTTCCTTGTGATATTCTAGCTAATGAAGTTCATATAAACATGGTGTTCTAATTTGCTCCGTTTTTGAGATACAGGAAGTTGGAAGTAATAATTGTTTTTATTTATGACCCCCCTGTATGATTTCTCATGGTGCAAAAATTCAGAATGATTGGAGACTGAGAAAGTCCCAAAATTTCATAATTATTCTAATTGGGGTTATTGAGTAATCTCAATGGAAGTCTTCAAGACACCGTTATATTGAAATTTGGAGTCAAATCGAATTTTTGTTGCTTCCTCAAAAGTATGCTAGATACAAAAATTACACAAGGGATAAAAAAGTTGTTATTTTTATAGTTCAATCTAATAAAAATATGAAACTCAGAAAAACCAGTGGCGTACAATGTCATTCACCAGGCGGCAATCAAAGCAGTCAACTCTATGCAAGTTAACTCAAAACTAGTATGGGACTGCTTAGAAACCCTAAATGCACTGGGCAGTCAGAACAGATTGACTCTAGCATGGGTACCAGCACATACAGGGTACGAGGGCAATGAAGAGGCACACTCACTTGCCCGAGCAGGAGCAAACAAAGCTCTTAATGGCCCAGAACCCTTCTGTGGTATTGCGAAAGCTATACAAAAGACTAGTATCAAATCATGGATGCAAACCAAATCCCAAGAATGGTGAAACAACTCGCCAGGAATGAGACAGGCAAAAGAGTTTATCAAAAAACCATCGCCAACATTCACAGAATATCTACTAAGCCAGAGACGAAGTTCAACTAGAATACCAGTGGTACTTCTCACAGGGCATTGTAGGCTCAACAAACACATGAGTTCGATAGGTGTGACTGAAGAACTGCTGTGCAGGTTCTGTCAAGAAGAGGAAGAAACAGCAGTACACATACTTTGCCACTGTGAGGGCTTGTCAAGACTAAGGTCCCTTACGCTGGGAAAGGAAAAACCAGGAGCCCAGAGATACACAGGAGATCTGAAAGATAGCCTATGGAGTCTCATAGAGAAGGCGGGGCTAGCCGAAGAACTCTAATCGATTTTGAGGGCAGACACAATTGATCTGAAAAGGTCGCAGTGTGGAGGCAGATAGCCCGAAGGCCTCATTCCAAATCTAATCTAATCTAATGCCATTCACCATAAATATCGATAAATTTACCCACTGTGACGCCACTGGAAATATTATTCCGAGTCTAATTGCACCAGAAGAAGCCTCATATCACTATTACGAAAACCACAACTTATTATTGAAATTGATGAAGAGACAACTGATTAATGAAAACGAAGCAAGTTAGGACACATGTTAACATCAACTCTATTTCCTAAAATATCACAAGGAATCACCCCTTGAATTTTTTCGGTGTTATTTTGAAACACCCTGTATATCCATGAATGTTGGCGGCCATTTTAAACATCGGTACCAAATAAATCGAAAGCTAGAGGCATAGAGGCCTGCTCACCTCATATCTATAATACAATATTCGTAAGCGAATGAACATGGACAGCACAATGCACAATCTGCTAGTGACAATAGCCTCTGGGCACATAGGGCCGAATGGATCAGGGTTGTCTATGTTCGACATTTCAGCCCGTTTGATTGTGTATAAAATTTGAAAACTGAGATAGGAAAGCATCATGACTATACAGCATATGAGAATGTAATTTCACAAATTGCCATTGATTTTGTCCCCAGCTAGTGGTTCGGACACAGAAATGACAGCTATTAGTGTTTTTGAATGCTAAGATTTATTAAGTTACACACCTTGCATGGTGATAAGAGCATCATAGTCGTCCCGCGCTTTCTCATTCAAAATTGTTGCAATTCGACAATAAATTTCATGAACGAAAGGGTTAGAAAGCACAAAATCATTAATCGAAGGAATGTTTAGGGGAACATGTATCGACCAGTCATGTGTCCATCATCAGCCTTAATTCTTACAACTCCTATGAGGAGCACAGGACCCCTTCACAATTAACCTACGTCTGCCTGAGTCTTTCCGTGTTTATATTGAGTTCATTGGTCTTTCCATTACTTAAGGTTCAAATATTCAACACTACGAATTTCTTCAACTCTATTTTGAATTTTGATTTTTTTCGTATACATTTTAATGATACAGGTATTGTATTATATAGTTTAGGTCCTAGACCTAGATACGATAGAAACTTCTGATTATGTGTAAGCCTACAACGAGGAACATTCATGGTCTGACTTGAACACGAACGCGTGTTTTATACATGGTTCACAAAAGATATTGAAGAATTGGCAGCCCATGATAATCAATAGAAAGTGTAGAGTTTCCTAACACCAAATATTCCAGTTTCCTCATATAGAGACTGAGTACTGTACCGCAGATCCTTTTTCATCATGATTGTCACTAGTGAATTTTGAATCCCTTCTAGACTATCTAGCGATATCTTGAAAATTCCGCCCCATACAGTTATACAGTAACGTATTATGGACTCCACCAAGGCAGCATACACTGTTAACATCATTGTCTCGTTGAGTATATTTCTGAGCTGATAGAATTTATAGATTGATTTACGTAGTCTACTAGCTGTGTATTCGATGTGATCATTCCACCGGAATATAATTTCATAAACTATTGAGAAAAAAGTGTAGATGAACATGTCCTGCTGAGTAATTAATTGTGAGAATTCTAAAAGAAATATCAACCATTCTCTTATGAAGAGAATGTATGAAGCGGCCTGAATCTCGGCCAGGATGGAAATTATTTTGATGACAAGGAAAATTTGTGAGGTAGGTACATACATTGGAGTTCAACATCAGATTAGAATGAAACCATATTTTAGGCCCAGTTTCAAACAGAAGATTTCAAGATCCGTTTGAGAGAATCTGCTGTTCCATCCATTAACAAAACAGACTACTTCGAGTACAGTTTCACATACAATAATAAGGAACTAGCTATAAGTATATGCATATGTGTCTATTTTGTCATATTAAAATGTTGTTACATGCATTCTTTTCTTCTAACTCATGCATGCACTCATTCTAACTGTTGTTCTGCGAAAAGTGTATCGCTATGAATTTTCATTTTCCATCTATGGCTGATTGATTTGACAAAAAATCTAAACATTAAAATGGTGCCTGACAATCAGGCTCTACTAGGGAAATTGAAGAGGCAAAGAGCAGAATCTTCTTCTTTCATCCACTCAAACCATTATAATATAAAAAATTGAAAAGGCCAGAAGTTCAGCTGTGTCCGAACTCTATGTGGTTATACTATAGCACTTATTGAATAACTATAATACCAACTACAACAACTATTTTGAAGCTACAGAGGGAAGCAAGCCAAAAAGTTTTTTCCAAATAACATTAGAAGTTGCTTTTCAATGACACTCAATAGACAGAAAAGGTGTACTTTGACTGCCCATGTGAAAAAAGTTTGTTCAAAAGCAACATTCCAAGTAATTTGAATCAAATTGGCAATCAAAATTGACAATCATTACTTTGGGTGAACACAAAACGATGTATTATTTGAACTTTGCGTGAAATTGAAACGAATTTGAAGCAAGAATTATTGTATATTTCACATGGCAGAAAAGAAGATTCAATGCCTAGAATAACAAATAACTATTTTTGCACTTGCAATGTTTCAGCAAAACCATATATCTTTACATCAATGTTGTTTAACTATTCCAGTATTTTTCTTCTGATCTCTCTTCTTGGAGGCGAATCAGCTTTCCTGTTAGTCGAAGCTTGAAGTTGGGATTTTGGTATGTGATACATGTCCCGGCAAATAAAAGAGAGATAGAGGAAACGACCGCATATTTTGCGACCATAAATGTATGCATAAATATTACCTAGAGTGAGCAAGGCCCTTCCAAGAATAGCGAAATTAGATTACGAAGATGAGATATGCTTCCGAAAATTCCATGGGGCTTTATGTTCTACATTCGGTCAAGGAGGTTGGGGACAGCAACGATCTTCGTTTGTTATTCCAATATTACGCTCGGTTGTCATGTACAGTAGTTTATTTGGCAAGAAACCTAGGTGGACAACAAGAAATATGATGGAAACTACCTTTTATGCTGAAATTTTGGTTTCAGTACTGAGAAATATATTGTTGCAGGAGGATGAAGAATGTGTGTATTATTTCTCTTTCTATTTTCGGAAAAGAATTCTCTGAATTAGTGAGTTCAATCTTCTAACTATGTATATGCCGAATTTACTGAGCTGAATCCTGAAATCCACCTGAGCTTCGCTCCAATTCACTGAGATATTGAGTAGGGCTCCTGATATTTCAATTTCGATTTTTTTTGTGTCAAAGAAAGTTCTATATTGGTCTGTAGGTTAATCGAGGAGGTGGTATATTCATTTTACTCGATTATTTTGGATTTTCTCTCCTTGTTTGTATAAAAAAAAAATGAGTATTATATGACAATATATGTGTAGTAGTACAAATCAGATGATTTGCTCCAAAAAATGTCACTGCATTTAACAAATTATTTTATCAGAGTGCCTGAAAGAAAAATCCAATAGCTTATCAGTGACACTTCGTTTGGAAAAATGTTCGAAGAGAAGAAATATAGGTATATTGAACAGATATCGATTTTTTACTCATCGGGAACGGGAGCAGATTCGTTCCCAAAACGTCCAAAGATAACGAAAAATCCGATATTTTCTCAATATATCTTTTCTTCAAACATTTTTCCAAACGAAGTGTCATTGACAAGCTATTGGATTTTTTCTTTCAGGCTGTTGAACGCAGTGACATTCAGGGCCAATGATCTGATATTGAAACAAAACTAATATTTTTATTTTAAAGAAACTGGGAGAGTACATCCCAAATAATCAAGTAAAAGGAAAGAAAGTTCTGTTTTACACATCATTAATTTTCTACAAGTGATTCGCCAACAGCGTCCTGGGTAATTTCACTGAAGTCGCAAATTCATGTCAATTCGGATGGAGCCCTAAAAGAAATCGAATTTATGTCATCTATTATTTTTTTCCTACATTTTCTCTAACACTGTATAGCACTTGTCAAAAATACTTCAAAATTCCCTGCACAATTCACATCAGCAGAATCATCGCCCAGATTCGTACTTGTAGCAAAGCACGATTGAAATTTACTTTCTATGGCTCCTCGTATATAATCAATACTGAAGATCTGTGTTCTATATGTAATCTGCAACAGAGAGAAACTCTGGAACATATCTTACTAGTCTGTCCTATGTATTCTGGTTTGAGAAATAACGATTTATTTGTTAAACTACAAGTCATTGACGACTTGATAGATATTCTCAACACACATTCATATGTTTCATTGAAACAATTAGCTACGATTGTGATGAATATTCTGAAATCACGGTCTTTCGTCATCAATGAATGACCCACCTCGGTGGTAACGTCTGAATGCCTCTTGTGTTTCTCCTTATCAGGTCTTACTGTAAAACTTTTGAAATTATCTCTTGATTGTATCCGAAATATCATCTGTCTTTCTTTATCTTTGTTCCCTCTATCATGACTGAACTATTTCTATTTTTTCCTTTTCTCAGTGTATGTATAACCTGAACAATGTTATATTAATAATTCATATATTTGTTCGAACCAATTTTCTTGTAATGAGGATTCCTCTTTAGATACAATAAATGCTATTGATTGATTGATTGATTGATTTTTTTACCTTTTCAAAAGATGAAATCAGTACGTCCTGGTATATTCACGATACCGATTCCTCATATATTTCCTTTGATAAACGATGAAGATAACACTTGAATAAAAAGTCTAGGAACAACCTATACTAATTTCAAAATGACTGCAGGATTAAACGAAGTGATACAGTGAAAAGTTATGGACTGAAACAGACAAACAAAAATACTATCAACCAATGTCAAGATCTGACATTTGAGTCTGAGTATTTCATCGTGTGAAACTTACGAAATAATGAATCTAGTGTGCTAGTTTTTCTTTTCTTTCCTCAATTCATAACCTACAAACACATACATGTCCTGTTGTTCTCAAACTGATCAGCTCATGATTTATAGCAACGCTGAAGTTATTATTTAACGGGAGAGTAATGGGCCTTCTTATGAATGAATGACCGTCTTTTTTCATCTAGTGCCAACATCAACAACGTTAATTAAAGACGATGAAAACAGTGAAAAACCCAAACGGAATGAATTCCTCCCACACTATGTAGCCTACTTTAACTTTTTTGCTACTGATAAATTCGATAGGTGGATGTCTAAATCAACGACTAGATCTTTGTTTCACATATAATTCAATTAAGGCTGTGGACAGATACATAGCCGATCTCACTGTGCCCAACATAAGCTTGTCAGAAGTAACCATGCCTTTGAAGACATCCATTTCGATGCTTGGTATTACTATCAGCAATAACCTCTAGGGAAAATCACGTGAGATCAATTACTAAAAGTGCTTTCCAAAAACTTGGTTTTCTGTTTCGGGCCAGGAGCTATTTCACTTCCAGTCAGTTGCTTATGGCACAGATCCGACCTGTCCTGGAATGGAGTGCAGCACCCAAACATACCCTGAAACTGTTGGATTCTGTCCAAAAAAGGGCAATTCGTCTCGTGGGTGATGCCTCGCTCACAAACTCAC